AGAAATTAGGAAAATAAGCCCAAAAGCATTGTTTGAGGTTCACGTTTATCACGCCAAACCTAAGACCTAAGAATTCACAACTTCTGACTCTAAATCTAATGTTCTTTCCATTAATACTGTCTTGATTATTGGAAGGAGGATAGGCGTCAAAGTCAGATCTAGGTGGATTCAAATTCAGGTTCTTCTCTTACCAGTCTTGGACAAGTCAACTGGATCTCTGAGAGCCTCATGTTTTGCCATCTTTAAAAGGGACACAAATACACTACTCTGCTTATATTTCTACATTTACCCTTTGTAATACTGGATGCTTGCTCTCTCTCTCTCTCTCTCCCTCTCTGACTCCTTCCTTACGTCCTCATTCTTCCCTCTTCCTTCTCCTTCTCTCTTCCTCTCTCATCTGATTCTCCCTACTATGTGAGGATACAGCTTCTGTAAACCCAGAAGGCTCTCACCAAGAACCTGACCCTGCAGGCATCCTGACCTCAGAAGTCCAACCTTCAATCTAAAATTATGAAAAATAGATATTTGGCCCTGGCTGGTGTAGCTCAGTGGATTGAGAGTGGGCTGTGAACCAAAGGGTCTCGGTTTGATTCCCAGTCAGGGCACATGCCTGGGTTGTGGGCCAGGTCCCCAGTGGGGGCCATGTGAGAGGCAACCACACACTGATGTTTCTCTCCCTCTCTTTCTCCTTCCCTTCCCCTCTCTCTAAAAAGAAAATAAATATTTAAAAAGAAAAATAGATATTTGTTGTTTAAGCAAAATGAAAAAAAATACTCATGCTATATGATGGGAACAGGTTGGCACACAGTATGGACTGGATTAAAAGTTAGGTACTAGTATTTTTCAATGGTAGGTTGTTACATAACGGCCTATATATTTTTGCATCATCTATTTGCCAGACACTTTGGTGGGTACTTTAAAAGCTGTAGAGACAAACATTCTTGCTCCCAGCAGGATGCCTATGTCAGCAGATTAGTAAGCAAGACCTCGGTGGACACCGATCAAGAATTTAATGTAAACTCAGGAAGTAGAATGTACATTGAGATGATAAGATTATACAGGTCAACATAGAGCAATATTCCAAAAACAAAATGAGTTACCCAGGGAAATAAATTAATGTGGGAGGCAAATTATACAGTTTTCTCTCTTGTACTTCTTCTCTGTATATGGTACAGCCCTAACAGGGAAACCAGATATTTCTCAAACTTCTTTACCATTAAGTCTTTTTGTCAAGAAGCATTTCAGAGGCTCACTGTTCAGGGGAATGAGCCTTGGGAAACCTGGTTTAGACTCCTTTGGTGGAGAGCACAGAGGCAGAAAGAACGGCTGAAAGATCATTGGAGAATAAGTCAAATGTCTCAAGGAAGTCCTCAACCAAAAGAGCCCGAGGACCACTCTAAGCCCAAGTTGCTTAACCACAGGGAGACTGGTGCAGAGAAAAAGGAATGAGAGAGAACAATACGGAGCAATGCACTACATAACTAGCACCGCTGCACGTATGTACACTGCACCCAACTGCACGTATGTACATAACTAGCACCGCTGCACATATGTACACTGCACCCAACAACCCTAAGGGACGGAGCAGCAGCAGCACGAGTATTGCTGTCCAGATGTCAAACTGAGAGAGCTAAGTCCCAGAGAAGCTGATTCACTTCTTAACATCACAGCACAAGAAGCTGAACTGCATCCTGACTCAAAAACCCGGGGTCTTTCACATCCTCATTGTGCTTAAAATAATATCACACCCAATTCTCTGACTACAATAAGGCAAAAGATCAGCTTTACAGTCACACATTGTGCACAACAGCTGTGATGCTAATTTTCAAATCTCACTCCTAAGCAAGCTCCCCGAAACAACTGTTGGTACTGTGGGAGAATTGGTTTCATTGCATGCTTTAGAGGGGCAAGTCTGAACTGAGTTCCTATCTGGTGGTCATGAACTCATAGTAATGGCTACCTCAGGGAAAAATTTCTCAAATAACTGAAAACCTGTAAAGGTAAGACATTACGTTTTCAAAAATAAAGTCAGTAACATGTAAAAGTGCAAAATGAACCAGATGATGCTAAGTATCATGAAGTGATCATAAACCCTCAAGGCACAGTTTGCTAAATAAAATGCACGCTTGGACAAAAGAATTTTGCTGTGGTTATACTATAAATGGCACGAAACAGGGAAGCCGCGGACAGCGTTTGACCTGCCACCAAGCTCCTAGTGGAGATTCAACTAGAAAACTCAGCCAAGTGCTTTGACTTTGTGTAGAATGTACACAAACATAAGGTGTTGGAAATTGAGTCCAGTCATCGATAAATCTTTGGTTTTGAACTATAAAGGGGAATCTGTACATCCATTCCTACACATTTTGAAAAGCTGGCCCTGTGCCCTTTCTAGGGAACAGCACTTGACAAAGGACCAGCATGGCATTAAATGCTCCAGACTCCCCCACTCACAAGCCTGGGGACTCCAGCCTAAAAACATCAGCCTCCAACCAAGTTATTTCAGGGGGTAAGGATCCCATTTGCAGGTCAGGGAACTGAACACTGAAGGTTCTGTGAGTTTGGGCTCTCTGTTTATTGAATCATGTCACATTTTAAACTCTATGAAAATATTCCAAAAAAAGCTACGCGTGATACATATCAATTCTCATATGTGGTGACAGAAGTAATTACTTTTCCTGTATGCTTTAATCACGCAATCTTTCTGATTCTAGAAAGGCATGTTGAAGAAGCCCTGAAACACATCTGACTTGTCCATGACCTGTAAATGGAGAAAGAAAATCTAACAGGCAGTTGAAGGCAGTAGAAGGCTAGGAACGGAAATTACATACAAAGAAACAAACACTGAAACAGTAGTGCCCCCACCCATCATCTTCCACTGTTCCCGTGGCAATAGTTGCAACTTTGTTACTTTGTAAAGTGAAGCAAGTAGAGATGATATTCAGTGAGTGCCCACAGCACAGCCAGGCTAGGTTATCGTCTGTTTTATGGGGAGCTGCTGTTCTGACTGATTGGTACTCCTGCCAATCTAGTTACTTTCTTTTCTATGCCTCCCAGAGAACAGGGGTTAATGAAAGCATAAAGGAGCCAGGCAGGTGAAATGGCCCAGAGTGGGGACAGTGGCAAACTAGAGAACAAGTGTACCCGATGAAGTGGAGACCGGCCACTCCACCCCTACAGGTTGAAGTCGCACAGGAAAATAAGCCCACCATTGCCAGAAAACCCTCTAGAATGAGTTGCCAGGTTTCCTGCTGGGGTCTGCCTGTGGCTGCTGACATGGTTCTGAACTACAGCTAAGTGTGTATAGATTGGTACCCTGCCCTGCCCTGATGGCAGGAGTGCTGTGGCAATTGGTTTCAGCAATTAGGTATTAATCACAAATACTGGGCAAAAATATTTTTTATAGTTTAATGAGAAAAGCATTTGAAGAACAGATAGTTCTTCCAGAACTTAAAGAGCACTGAAGATATAATGAGAACAATTTTTTAACCTTTACTATTGTCACTGGTACCCTGGTCTGATTTTATTGTAGGTAGAGATCATGATCCCAATATACTTTCTTCCTTTCCATCTACTCTTTTCTTTCCCTTCTTCAACCTTGCATCTCTCTCAAACTAAAGTTTCCTTAGTTTGGGGTGAAAGGTCATAGGACTTTTATGAGATGACACAAAATAATGTACGTAGTTGTCTAAAACAATACCCAGCACAGAGTAAGAACTGGAAAGTTGTTAAGTACCTTCAGTTACTATGAATATTATTGAGTGCTCAAAGTCCTCAACAGGGCTGATCTTCTTTGGGAAAGCTAGTGTTAACTCTTTAAAACGAAGCTGTTACATAAACTTTCTGCTCACAGAATCACTCTGTACCCAACCTTGTTAGCAATCTGCTTCTTAAATTAATCCCCAGTTCATTTCCTCTGAGACAGCCGAGAATCTTTTGCACAGAACAAAGATAAAGAAAGAGAGGTCTCTGTAGAGCATTTTGCAACAAAAAAGATAAGGGCCTCCACCTCCCTTTTTCCCCAGGAGACAGAGGTACTTTTCCACTTTTTTGTTTCTTTGTGTAACAGACTCACTCCCCACTTAACCCCTGCTGGGTGGGGGTGGCTTGAATTCATACACCATACGACTTACTTAATGATCTTTTTCTATTTTCAATGGCTTCATGTATAATCTAACATGTGGTCCCAGCTGTTTTAAAAGCGCATTATCACTTATTCAAAAGACAAATATTTGATCCACTATTTTATTAAATCAGCAAGTAACCAGTTAAAACTAAACACCGAGTTTTATTTTTAATTTATACCTCTCCTGAGGGATGGGGTCAAGCCAGCTACCAATAAACTAGAATCGGTGACTGATTCAATATTTTCTTATTGGGAATTAAGACTCTGAAACTTCCTGTTCCAGGCAGAACTAAGGGGTTGACAAATAGATGATGGGATAAAGGAAATGATGCCTCAGGCTCTCTGGGCTTCACCAAAGGGGACCAAGCCAGCAATTTCCAGGCACCCCCTGAGGATACGGAACAGATGGATCTCCACACCACCTTCCTCCTCCTCGGGTCACTTCCTTAAGCGCCTTAACCTGCATGACATCTTACGGCAGCCTGTGCTGACAGGCAAATACAAATGGATGAATGGAAGTAAGCCAAACCAAATAACTTTACACTGAGCATAGATTTAAATACTTCTGATAAACAGCAAAAGTCTAGGTACTCTATCATCTTTCCTGCTTCACGAATAAAACCATCATTTTTTTTCAGATCAATCATTTGCCCATTCTAATGCATTTGTGGTATTTTTTAAAAATAGAAACTGAATTCTATTAAAAACAAAGTACAAGGCTTTCCTCCCCAGGGTGGCCTTGGAGCTCATGGGCAGGTGCCAGCTGCAGGTGCTGTCTGAGCAAATACGCCTTCAAAAGGGCAATATTTACTTCGGCACGTGAGTAAACCAAGAGTCAGCCTCACACAACCAGTTCAACAGAATCAAGGACATGTACCTGTAGGTTTTCAATTTCTTCTTTGTGTTCTCTCTTCAAGTGTAAAATAGCAGCCTGGTATTCTGTAAGAGCACAAAAGAAGCCAATTACAAAGAAGCACAAAATTATAGACAAAATTCAAAGTGGGCATCTTCGAGATTCCAGAGGTGCTTGTGCAAGGAAGCTGAGTACGTAAAAGCCACAATTTGACATGGGCTTGACAAGAGATGCTGAACATTGAGACAACATAGGACAAGTAGCTCAGCATAGAAGGGAAATCTCTTTCCATTTAGCAAACCCTGAATTATAATAAGCCTCAAATTAGGTACATAGGACAGGGTTAAAAAATAAAAGCACAATAAGTGTTCCAGATAAAGACGGGGTCAGGGTTTGCTTCAAGGAGGAGTTGGAAGTTGAATGCCCCACAGAAAACAGATACAGATGTGTTAAGAACAGACACATAAGAAATAAAAGAAAACTTTCTTTATGAAATCAGAGAATTTTATTTTTAATTCTCTCCACCCCCAAATAAATCTCCATTTGAATGCAAGGTTAAGCAAGAGCCAGGGCTGATTTTAATCTTTAGAACACTTCAGAAAGTCAAGACCATTTGTCATTGGGGTGAGAGAATGTAGTGCGAGCTGAAGTTGAAAGGAGGACAAAAATAAATTTCTGGCCCAATTTAGCCTGTGTCTAATAATGTTTATGCCAACAATAAGTCCCAAGTGTACACAGGGACTCCGGCCAACTGCTGAAACGGCCACTCCCTGGCTGAGCATGAAGCAGCTATGACAACTTTATTTCCAGCAATACGGCTACGGATGTGGGGTCACAGAACTGCACGGGCTGCAGAGACGCGCGGAGCAAAATGCTGTGAGAAAATGTTCTTGTGGGATAAGCCAGCTTTTACAAATGTGTTTAGGTTGTGAGTATGAATAAGATAAATGTCAGCTGGATGTCATTTTAAAATGTATGAAAAGACAGGCTATTTCTTCAAGTGAATTTCAGAAGTCAGTCATGAAAGGCTAGGCTTCAATTCAAAAGTGGACAGGGGAAATCTTTGGTAAGGCCGTGACTGGGGAGAAGGGCTGCTGTTGACAATTATGACTAGTCATACTACTGCTCTCATGGGGAATGTGGTCCACGGAGCTATGAATCCATCAGCAATTTCTGAGGTTTCTACCTCCAAACCATACCCTGAGCCAAACCGCTTCTTCCCATTCCACAGTCACCACGATGGTCCAAGCCACCACCACCTTTTCCGTGGAGCTGAAAAGGTCACCTGCTTTCACTCTTCCACCAGCAAAACCCATTCTCCTCAACCAGCTGGAAAGATCTTTGGAAGGCATGAACAGGCCATGACCCATCTCTGGCTTTCTGCTGCACTTAGAGTGAAATCAAAACTCCCTCCGGCAACCCATGAGACCCTTCATGACCTGGCTCCTTCACACCTCTCCCCGTCTTCCCCTTGCTCATCATGTTCCAGGCACACTGGCTTTCTTGCTATCCCTTGAATTGGTCAAGTTCTTTTCTACCCCAGAATCCTTACTACTATTGGAGACAATAACAATGGGCTGTATTTACTGAGCACTTACTATGCACCAGGTGTTCTCTGAGCACTTCACATGTATGAACTCATTTCATCCCTACAGAAATACTATGCTGTAGGTAGATTTTCCTCATTAAAGATGAAGGAATTGATGCAAAGGTCAGTAACTTGCAGAGCTAGAAAAATATGTAATTCAATGAGTGAATGTATAAATAAACTGTGGTATAGCCATAGAATGGAATACTACCCAGCAATAATAAGAAGTGAATGAATATCAAAGGCATTACGCGAGTGAAGGAAGTCAGTCTCAAAAGGCTAACTATTATTTAACTCAACTTATATCATCCTGGAAAAGATGAAAAAACCCATGGGGATGAAACAGATTAGAGACGTAGTGGCTAGAGGTTAGAGATGAGGAAAAGTTTGACTACAAAGGGTTGCCACAAATGGACTTTTAGGGTGATGTAACCATTTTTCCATCCTCATTGTGCTGGTGGTTACATGAATGTATATATAGGTTAAAAATTATAAAATTGGACATCAAAAAGAAAAAAAGATTAAGCCTATACTATGTTAATTTTTTAAAAACCTGCATCAAACATCATCACACTTTGAAATGTTTTCCCCGGGAGATCAGCATAACATAAGAATATGTGTTCCTATCACGTATAGTCATCGTTTTCCTAAGGGCATCAGCAGATGTCAGACAAGAACAAAAGGAAAGAAACACATTTGTGCAAGGATCACACACACATATATAAAAAAGGGAAAATAAAGCTATTATTCACTGTGATTGTATATTTAGAAAAATCCATGATTTTACAGATAAAATATGAGAATTAATATGTGAATTTAGTATGGTTGCTTGATAAAAATAAGTATACAAAAATCTTGATATCAGGTAGGGTATAAAAAAGAAAATTTAAGATAACTTTTATAGTACTCCTAACTGTATCTAGTACTTAGAAAGAACCTTAACAGAAATATGTAAGATCTCATGAGAAGCCGGAAATGTTGTACTGGAATATATTACAAAGACAACTGTAGACAGATAGTGAGCCAGCCATTTTTGGTAAAACTCAATACTCTAGAGATGTTAAGTTTCTCAAACTGACATACAGATCTAAGGCAATCCCATTCAACATTTCCAAGAGTTTTTGTTTGGTTTGATATTAAGGAGCTCAATCTCCATATATATTGAAGCATAGAGGTACAGAAAAACAATGAGCCAAGAAATTCTTTTTTTTAAACATATTTTATTGTTTATGCCATTACAGTTGTTCTATTTCCCCCCTTCATTCCCCTCCACCCTGCACATCCCTCCCCCACCCTTCCCCCCTTCAGTTTATGACCACATGTCTCAAGATCTTTAGATTCTGTATTTCCCCTACTATTCTTGCTGTCCCCCATATCTATTTTCTACCTACCATCTATGCTACTTATTTTCTGTACCTTTCCCCCCCCTTCTTCTTCTCCCACTCCCCTGTGGCTAACCCTCCATGTGATCTTCATTTCTATGTTTCCACTCCTGATCTAGCTGTCCTCTTAGTTTGCTTTTGTTTTAGATGTGGTTTTTAATAACTGTGAGTTTGCTGTCCTTTCACTGTTCATATTTTTTATCTTCTTTTTCTTAGGTAAATCCCTTTAACATTTCATATAATAAGGGCTTGGTGATAATGAACTTCTTGAATTTGACCTTATCTGAGAAGCACTTTATCTGCCCTTCCATTCTAAATGAGAGCTTTGCTGGATAGATCAATCTTGGATGTAGGTCTTTGCATTTCATGAGTTGGAATACCTCTTTCCAGCCCCTTCTTGCCTGTAAGGTCTCTTTTGAGAAATCCACTGACAGTCTGATGGGCACTCCTTTGTAGGTGACTGCCTCCTTAGCTCTTGCTGCTTCTAGGATTCTCTCCTTCATTTTAATCTTGGCTAATTCTTGAAAAAAAATTAATAAAAAAGCAAGACCACCTACTAATAATTATTTTTATCACACACAATTAGAGTGCTGTGATACTGACACAGGGGTGACAAACAGTCTGAAAGACTAGAGAGTCCAGAAATATACCTGAATTTATGGTCAATTGATATGTGGCTGAAGTAGCATGGGAGACATTTGTTTGTAGTAAGAATAGTGTTTTCTTAATGATAGGTTGGAAAAGTAGAGAAACATAAATCTGAACTGTAGCTCTATACCATATAATAATCCATTCTAAGTTGATGAAAGCTAAATTATTTAAAAAACATGTTTTTCCCTGGCTGGTGTAGCTCAGTGGATTGAGTGCAGGGCTGCGAACCAAGGAATCATGCTTCGATTCCCAGTCAGGGCACATGCCTGGGTTGCAGGCCAGTTTCCAGCAGGGGACACATGAGAGGCAACCACACGTTGATGTTTCTCTCCCTCTCTCCTTCCTTTCCCCTCTAAAGATAAATAAATAAAATCTTTAATAAATAAACATGTTTTATAAGATAATATAGCATAATTTTTAAACTTCAATAAAAATCAATTAAGTGCTCTAAAACAAAGACATACAAATAACAGAGAAATAAATTAAAAGGTTCTCATTCTTGTTAGCAATTAGAAATATTTAAAGTCCAGCAAAACTGAGTGTTGGTGAAGATGTGGAATGATGGAAACTCACACACAAGTGGTAGGAGTGCAAATTGGTATCATCACTATAGAAAATGGTTGGCATTTTCTAATAAAGTGGAAAACACTAATACTCCCTTTCTAACCATCCTAATCCTAGGTTCACATAAATGAAAAAAAAACTATAAAAGAAAAGCAAATAATGTTAACAAAAGTCAAGAACAGTGGTACCCAGGAGAAGAGAAATGGACTTGGGTTATGACTGAGCAGGGCAGCACCACATAGGCGTTCAATGAAAAGTTATTCGCCATCCTCTACGTTCTATGCCACTTTCTTCATGTATACCTAACACTGTAACATAAGGAAAAAGACTGCTCTAGTTAATTGCTTTTGCTATATATCAAATGAAGAATATTACATAGGTAATATTATAATATTGTACCGAATATTATATAGGTACAAGAGAGTCTCTAGATTAATAAAATAGGACAATTTAGTAAATGTGGGTCCTATGAATACTGACTCCTAGATCAATAGCTAAACCTTAATCAATTTTCAACCTCTACGAAGTAGACAAAGGATTAGCTAAACCAACCTTTTTGCAAAACTGATGTCCCTTGGGAATAACACCTACATTCTAAATAGAAATTACACAGAATAAACTTTGAAATGATTCACTCTGTGTAAACTGTACCTGTAAGGGTGTGACAGATACAGCTATGACTAATTGACAGAGTGACAAAGGAGATCGTTGCAACTAGAACACCCAGGAAATATTGATTCATCTCCTCCTTAAACCAATAGTTTCACCAGCAGTCCCACTGTGACAGCTGGCAAGAGAACACAACCCCATTCCTGACAGGGACGGCGAAATAGAACACCTGGGCAGCGTACAGAAGCAGGAAGTTAATGCCCTCACTTGAGGAATGCTCACTTTGAGGGTT